TAGTCAACGGGTTATAGGAAACAGAAGTTCCTCTGCGAACAAGCCACTAGACATCTATATTTAATTTCACTTCAAACAGGAAGCAGATAATTAGTTTTTAATGGGGTAATCTCAATCCATCAACATGGGGCGGATTCACAGAGAGAACTGCAAACACAACTCGTGCATATCCTGTAGATGTAACAGCTCTGTGCGTATTGTGTCCAGGGCTGGTGCCACGTTGCGCGGACGGTTATCAACCTGCTATGGGCGATGGCGCCCCTGGTGGCTTCCACACGAACTGTTTTTTTTTATCTAACTCCATTCCCTTCCTGCTTGAAAGATTTGTATACTCATGCCAAGCTCCCTTGCCTCCCATTTCCATTGGTGACGATCTTTACCACATACCTCCTCTTTCATACATACTACATTATAAAAACCAACAACACAAAAAAAAAGTATCAGAAAAATTAGAAGACAAATTCAGCTATAAATTTCTATCATCACATCCCACCAACAGATTTACACAAATAATCTGTGTTACATGTTCCTTTTTAAGGAGGTGTTTGATGCATCAGGTTTCCCTGGTTCATGAACAAAACTCAGACACAGCCTCACCCAGGGGACAGAGCAGTGTCGGCACTCAAGTGCCCTGGGCAGCGTCATCCCCCAAATATACCTCACTATACCGTATAGAGGAAGCCATCATTCCACTTCTCCTCCCAACCCTACAACTGCTTCTCCTCAAATTATCCAACCCAGTAAATGGTTCACCATCCATCTAGACGCTCACGTCAAAACTAGGATTTGTGATTTCAGTGGATCTGAAAAAGAATAAATAAATAAATAAAAAACTAGGATTTGGCCAGGCATGTTGGCTCACACCTGTAATCTTAGCACCTGGGAAGGTGAAGCAGGAGACTGCTCGAGGACAGGAGTTCAAAACCAGCCTGGGCAACATAGCGAGACCCCATCTCTACAAAAAATAAATAAAAAATGAGTCAGGCCATGAGGACGCATGCCTGTAGTCCCAGATATTCAGGAGGCTGAGGCAGGAGGATTGCTTGAGCCAGGAGTTCCAGGCTGCAGTGAGCTGTGATGACACCACGGCACTCCAGCCTGGGCAACAGAGTGAGACCTTGCCTCAAAAGCAAACAAACAACAACAAAAAAAACAACCTAGGACTCACCTCAACATTTGTCTTTTCCTGGTCCTCCATATCCACGCCACCAGCAAGTCCTGTCAACTCTACCTCTGGAATGGCCCATACTCCATCCCTCTCTCCATCTCCTCTACCACCTCCCTGGTCTCTCAGGTGGGTCCCTACCCCTGTAACCAGTCTTTCCATTTCCCCTTTGCTGCTGTGACACTGTCCATTCCCAAGAGGCCAGTCACAGTGAGCTTTGAGAAATCACCTTCAAAATACCACGTAACATGCCTGCTTCAAAGCTTCTAACAGCTTCCCACCACGCACCTAAAATAAAAACTCCCTCCTGTGGCTTACAAAGCTGTATGTTATCCGGCTCTCCTGGCCTTTTTGCACATCACTCTGCATTTTCTGATGGGATGCACCTATGATATATTTTTCTTGATCTTTATTTATTATAGTTATTGTCTCTCTCCCCTAAAACATAAGTTCCAGAAGTAAGACCTTGTTTTTCATGTTTAACGTTGCATCCTTAAGGTGTAAAAAGTGCTTGGCACATAGAAGATGCTAAATAATATTTATTTACTGAATAAATGAACAAATGGAATATTAACAATCAAGGGTAGAATTGTAAAAAAAAACTTTTCTAGGGCCCGGCTCGGTGGCTCACGCCTGTAATCCTAGCTCTCTGGGAAGCCGAGGCGGGTGGATCGCTCAAGGTCAGGAGTTTGAAATGAGCCTGAGCAAGAGTGAGACCCTGTCTCTACTAAAAAATAGAAAGAAATTAATTGGCCAACTAAATATATATAGAAAAAATTAACCGGGCATGGCGGCACACGCCTGTAGTCCCAGCCACTCAGAAGGCCAAGGCAGGAGGATTGGTTGAGCCCAGGAATTTGAGGTTGCTGTGAGCTAGGCTGATGCCACGGCACTCTAGCCCAGGCAACACAGCGAGACTCTGTTTCAAAAAAAAAAAAAACCTTTCTAAAAGTTAAAGACAATTTGATACTGAAAGCATTTCAACCTGAAATATTAACCAGCCAAAATCTTAGCAAGACTTATTCAAGTAATATTAATTTATTTAGCTGTTTATTTTCTGTATTCTGAAATAATAAGTTCTATGGATATGGAGAATGTATTTTTAGTGTTTTGCACAGAATCTGGCATATGGTGGATGTTTAGTAAATATTTCTTGCATGAATTTCTTTCCAGGTCTAGACAATAAAATCTAGTGAGTTCGATTTCAGATAATATGATTATAAGATAATAGGAATTTAATAACAAATACATTAGAATTTTATATATTAACATGGGTCTTAACCCTTTCAAAACAGTCCCCCTGGAGACCCAAATACTTATTCAGTTTTGCAGACATTGTTCTAAAGAGGTACTTCAAACATGTTTCATGGATCAGGTGTGGTGGTTCACGCCTATAATCCTAGCACTCTGGAAGGCCAAGGCAGGAGGATCACTTGAGGCCAGGAGTTTCAGACCAGCCTGAGCAAGAGCAAGACCCTGTCTTTATTAAATATAGAAAATTTAGCCTGGTGTGGTGGCATGTGCCTGTAGTCCCAGCTACTTGGGAAGCTGCGGTTGGAGGATTCCTTAAGCCCAGGAGTTTAAAGTTGCAGTGAGCTATGATGACACCACTGGATTCTAGCCCTGGTGACAGAGTGAGACTCTGTCCCCCAAAAAATAACAAAAACTTTCATAAGAGGTCTGTGTACTTATTATCCTATAAAGGCAAACAACAACAACAACAAAAACCCAGAATACTATCATGCTTTTCATTGAAAAGTAGATTTTGGTTTAATAAATTGAATTTCAAGTCAGGAGATTTTCTGGCATGTCTCAATATTTGTGATCCCTTTTGGTAGCTTTATTTAGAATCTTTTGTAGAAAATCTTTCACATAAACTATATCCTTAAATAATTCCTATTACAACAGAAAATGAGCAATGCTTTTATTACCTCTAAATATCCGGTAACTCATAAGTCCTTTTGCTGGTTTCAGTGGACAGGCTTCCTCACTGGGACAGAAAAATAGGTAGCAGTTGGGTTGTCTAGCTGTCTTTCGAGTGTCGAAGATCATCAAGTTACATGCTTTGTCCCCTGGAATGAAAGGTTTTGTAAGCATGATTTTGAAATTGGATTGTCTAAAGAGTAAGGCAAGCAGGAAGAACTTCATTTACCCTGGTGTCCAACACAAACACCTTTGTTCATTTTGTTCACTTGCTTGCTGACCACTGAGTCACTTCCTTTTCCTTAGTTTAGTTGCTTACAGAAATTTAAAAAGATAGTGGGCTTAAAAAATCTGAGTTAAGATCAGGCTCACGCCTGTAATCCTAGCACTTTGGGAGGCCAAGCAGGGAGGATCACCTGAAGGCAAGAGTTCACAACTAACCTGAGCAACATAGCAAGACTCTGTCTCTACAAAAAATTAGAAAAATTAGCCAGGTTTGGTGGTATGCACCTCTAGTCCCAGCTACTCAGGAGGCTGAGGCAGAAGGATTGCTTGAGCCCAGGAGTTTGAGGTTGCTGTGAGCTAGGTGTGACGCACAGCACTCTAGCCCAGGCAACAGAGTGAGACTCTGTCTCAAAAAAAAAAAAAAATCTGAGTTCAGACAGTCTTTGGCAAAATCAGTTTTTAATAATACCTTGAATTCTATAGAAATAAGCCTTCTGTTTGTTAAAATGTCCACCAAAATATACATAAAAACACTTACTGCAATCTTTATACAACTCACAACTGAGTTGGTTCTTAATGAAATGGCTCTAACTCTCTTATATTCTGAAGGCATCTCAGATACTTATAAAGCCATGAATCTGGCTTTCTTGGGAGGAGTCAGTAAATGAATCTTGAAGGGTAAGGGGTGTACAGGCTACTTATTAAGAACACATGCTCTGCAAACCATCACCACCAGCACCTCAAGTCAGGCAATGGTTAGAGATCAACTTTGGCTCCCTGGATGAGAAAGAAGATTTAGTTAGCCTCGTCTCTACTATAAATACAAAGAAATTAATTGGCCAACTAATATATACAGAAAAAATTAGCAGGGCATGATGGCACATGCCTGTAGTCCCAGCTACTCAGCAAGCTGAGGCAGGAGGATTGCTTGAGCCCAGGAGTTTGAGGTTGCTGTGAGCTAGGCTGACGCCACAGCACTCACTCTAGCCTGGGCAACAAAGTGAGACTCTGTCTCAAAAAATAAAATAAAGTAAAATAAATAAAGGATATAAATGAAAAGCCAGATGCAGAGGCACACAGCATCTCAAGTACTCTGTCCCTATGGAATTGGGGTATGCCCCCTCCTTAGACATGGATGTGTTCATCAACTTGGAAGCTCCCTGAACCTCATCATTTAGGGGTTTTTATGGAGGCTTCATTATATGATCATGATTAATTAAGTCCTGGGCCTGTGGTTGAACATCAGCCCCTCCCCTGAGGTCAGGGAATGGGGTTGAAAGTTCCAAGCTTCTAATCAAGGCTTGGTCTTGGGGCCGGGCACAAGGCCTCACACCTGTAATCTCAGCACTTTGGGAGGCTGAGGTGGGAGGATCGATGTCAACATAGTGAGACCTTGTCTTTACAAAAAATTAAAAAATTAGCTGGGCATGGTGGTGTGCGCCTGTAAGTCTCAGCCACTCAGGAGGCTGAGGCAGGAGGATTGCTTGAGCCCAGGAATTCAAGGCTGCAATGAACTATGATCACGTCACTGCACTCCAGAAGCTAGGGGCCTGTCCAGAGTATCCTCATTAGCACGAACTCAAGTACGGTTGAAAAGGGCTTGTTATTAAAAATAACAAAAGACATGCTCCTACAACTCAGGAAATTCCAAGGTTTTGGGAGCTCTGTGCCAGAAACCAGGGATGAAGACCAAATATGTCTATATACAAATATATTGTTAATATATAATTGTATTATATATTATTATTATACCACAAAAAAAGGAAGTAAAGATCTAAGAGTAAACATCTGACTTAGTTGGCTAACATAAATCAACTAAGAGTCACTGGTCCAGTGTTAACTAGCCTTTCATGCTCCTTGATGGCAAGGCCTAGTTCATCTTATTCAATATTTTATCTCTAGCCCCTAGCATGGTGTTAGGTGCTCAACACATTCAGCTTTTTTCATTTAGAGAATTAGGCCAGGGTCACAAGCAAAACTAAAAAAACAACCACAGTTTTACTCAGATATACGGTACACTCTCTTTCAGTTTGCAGATTTAAAGCCTGAAATATGCAAAGGCATGGTTCAAACCTCTGGGCCTCAGTTTCCTTTTGTGTCATGAGAATGGGTCAGACTGAACACTCCCCTGTCCCTTCACAGTTCTGGAAGCTGCAATGACCTAGTGATCATGGCTTCCTGATTCATACTATGCCACCAGCTCCAGGGAGAGGCATGGGGTGGAGGTTTTGTGCTTCCACTTAAAAATGAAATGCTGATTTTCCCATGGGATAGGTTTAAAATTTTACTTTTTGTCTCAACCCTCTTTCTCTGTTTACATGTCCTGTGTAATATCACACTGTATTCCAATACTCCATAATGATGGCAGCTAAGCATCTAAACAGAATTTTTTTTTTCAATATTCTAGATGCCAGTTAGGACATACCACCAGTGGTTCTCAGCCATTTTTCTACCCAGTCACCTCAGGGATACATACACGCACTCATCAATAACCTTACTCAGCTTCGGGGAGGGGAGGGCACACTTGTAGCAAATTCACCAGTGATTTTGTCACCAAGAATTTCTGCCCCATTGAGAATCACTGGTGCAAACTCTTCAGCTGCACCCAACAGCTACTTAAGTCACAAAACACGTGGAATGAAGGACTGCCAGGGAACTATTGTTTACCTGAGATGTTTGTTGTTGAACAGCAGGAATTAATGCAGTCTTCTTGAGTTAACGTATGTATGGGCTCATTGCCTCTGATTCCCTTGGAAAGAGATGACTGGATGTCAATGATAACATCTTCGAGACTCTCAGTGAGGCACTTCTGACTGGCAGACAGCCTTAGCGACAGGAAACAAATGATCACCAAAGTGTAAGTCAAGCTCCTGTCTCCTCTGAAGAACATTTTAAATTTCAGTTTAGGCTTGGTCTTCAAAGGTCAAGGATAATCCTCTCTCTGGTCGTAGTTTGCATGGAGAAGACTGCACAGATGCTGGAATTTCTCCCTAGAATGAGAGAGGAGAATCGTCAATGAGTTTGTTTCTTTTAACAAACCAGGGAAGAAACATTTCATTTCAGGCCCGGCGCGGTAGCTCACGCCTGTAATCCTAACACTCTGAGAGGCTGAGGCGGGCAGATTGCTCAAGGTCAGGGGTTTGAAACCAGCCTGAGCAAGAGCAAGACCCCGTCTCTACTATAAACAGAAAGAAATTAATTGGCCAACTAAAAATATATAGAAAAAATTAGCCGGGCCATGGTGGCACATGCCTGAGTCCCAGCTACTCGGGAGGCTGAGGCAGAAGGATGCTTGAGCCCAGGAGTTTGAAGGTTGCTGTGAGCTAGGCTGATGCCAACGGCAGCTCACTCTTAGCCTGGCAACAAGTGAGACCCTGTCTCAAAAAAAAAAAAAACATTTCATTTCCATCCAGTCAATGAAAAGGATCCGTGTACGATTTAGATGACAGAAATAAACAAGGATTTTTTTATTCATTTCATTTTTAGATTTGAGACAAACTTATATTAAAAACCTGGCAAAGAATTAATAAGTACAAACAAGTATACTATCTCATCAGTGCTTAAAAGCCGACAGTGCCTATGAAGGAAGAGGTACGAATAGTAGGCCTGCCTCTAAGTTCTAGAATCCTTCCTCTTCTTGCCTCTTCTAACCAGGAGGAGAAAGGACACAAATTTCTAGTCACTGATGAAGCAGTGATAATAGGTTTGAACACAGTTCCTTTCTCAGTAATAACAATTAGCATTTTAAATAAGCTACTGGATGGTAGGCATTATGCTGAGTATTACATATATTACCCTCTTTAATCCTTATGCCACCCTGCAAAAAAGCTATTATTTTTCTCATTTTATAATGATGAAACTGAGGCAGCTTTCTTGTTGCTGCCATCCTTAAATATAAAACCAGAGGCAGGTAACTATAATACTCTAATTCTAGGAATTAGCCAGTCAGCAGGGGGAATATTCTGGCTTGGTTGAGAGAAAGTTTAGGGGCAGTTGTTCTTTTTGATGTCCCTAAAAACACAAAAGTCATACTAGTACAATGCCAACTCCGCTGGTAAGCTGTTCTTTTAGGAAAAATAAATGTTAAACTGGCAAGGCAATACCAGAAACTATTCTCACTCACCTACCTCCACATTTCCAGAATACAAATTGTCACTGAATGATAGCTTAAAGTAGAATTACTGCTTTTTTAATTTTTCTGTCATGAACCCCTCTGGTAGCCTGAGGAAGTTCAAGATCTCTTCTGAGAGATCTGTTTTAAAATGCATATGGTAGGCCGGGCGCTGTGGCTCACGCCTGTAATCCTAGCTCTTGGGAGGCCGAGGCGGGCGGATTGCTCAAGGTCAGGAGTTCAAAACCAGCCTGAGCAAGAGCGAGACCCCGTCTCTACTATAAATAGAAAGAAATTAATTGGCCAACTGATATATATAAAAAAAATTAGCCGGGCATGGTGGCGCATGCCTGTAGTCCCAGCTACCCAGGAGGCTGAAGGCAGAAGGATCACTCGAGCCCAGGAGTTTGAGGTTGCTGTGAGCCTAGGCTGACGCCACGGCACTCACTCTAGCCTGGGCAACAAAGCGAGACTCCGTCTCAAAATAAAATAAATAAAATAAAATAAAATAAAATAAAATAAAATAAAATGCATATGGTGAAATATACAGGCATTCAAAGGAAGCTAGTTATACTGAAATATAATTATCAAAATAGTTTTTAAAATATGCCTACAAAACTCTGATGAAAGAAATCAAAGATGATCTAAATAAAAGGAAAGATGTTCATGGACAGGAGGACTCAATATTTTTAGGATATCAGTTCTTCCTAACTTGATCGATAGATTCAATACAGTCCCAATCAAAATCTCAGCAAGTTATTTGTGGAGATCAACAAACTGAGTTTAAAGTTTATGTGGAAATGCAAAAAGACCTAGAATAATCAATATAATAATGAAGAAGAACAAAGTTGGAGGACCGACACTACTTGACTTCAATATTGACTATAAAGCTACAGTAATCAAAAAAGTGAGGTACTGGAAAAATAGACAAATAAATCAATGGAATTGGAATAGTAAGCCCAGAAATAGACCCACACAAATATAGCCAACTGATCTTTGACAAAGGAGCAAAGGAAATTCAGTGGAGAAAGGATCATTTTTTCAAAAATGGTGCTGGAGAAACTGAACATCCATATGCAAATAGACACAGACCTTATACCTTTCACAAATATGAACTCAAAATGGAACACAGACCTAGATGTAAGATAACTCTAGTTTGATGTTAGACAAGTTATGAAATTCCTAAAAGATAACAGGAGAAAAATCTTTGTGACCTTAGATTAGGTAATGAGTTTTAAAATATTAATATAACACCAAAAGAACAATGCATGCAAGAAAGAATTGATGTTGGGCTTCATTTAAATTAAAAACTTCTGGCCAGGCATGGTGGCTCACACCTATAATTCCAACACTCTAGGTGGCCGAGGCAGGAGGATCACTTGAGGTCAGGAGTTTGAGATCAGCTTGAACAAGAACAAGACCCTGCCTCTTCTAAAAATAGGAAAAAAATTAGCTGGGTGTGGTGGCAAGCATTGGTAGTCCCAGCTACTGGGAAGGTAGAGGCAGGAGGATTGTTTGAGTCCAGGAGTTTGAAGTTGCTGTGAGTTAGGCTGATGCCATGGCACTCTAGCCTGGGTGACAGAGTGAGACTCTGTCTCAAAAACAAACAAACAAACAACAACAACAAAAAAAAGCCCCACCTCTGCTCTAAGGACAGGTGAGGTGGCTCAAGTCTATAATCCTACCACTTTGGGAAGCTGAGGCAGGAGGGTTGCTTGAGGCCAGAAATTCGAAACAACTGAACAACATAGCCAGACCCTGTTTCTACAAAAAACAGAAAAATTAGCTGGGCATGGTAGCACATACCTGTAGTCCCAGATATGTGGGAGGGTGAGGCAGGAGGATCACTTAAGCCCAGGAGCATGAGGTTGCAGTAAACTATGGTGATGCCACTGCACTTTAGCCTGGGCGACAGAGCAAGACCCTGTCTCAGAAACGAACAAAACAAAACAAGACTTCTGCTCTACAAAAGACACTGTTAAGAGAATGAAAGGCCAGACTTGGAGGAAATATTTGTAAAACAAAATCTGACAAGACACTGGTATCTAAAATACACAAAGAACTCTTAAAACTCAACAATAACAAAAAAAAACTCAAAAAGTGGGCAAAAGATCTGAACAGACACCTCACCAAAGAAGGTATACAGATAACAAGTAAGCATGTGAAAAGGTGCTCAACATCATATACCTCCAAGGAATTGCAAATTCAAACAATGAGTTACCACTACACACTTATTAGAATGACTAAAATCCAAAAACTGACAGTACCAAATGCTGACAAAGATATGGAGCAACAGGAATTCTCATTCATTGCTAGTGGGAATGCAAAATGTTATAGCCACTTTGGAAGAAATTCGGCAATTTCTTACAAAGCTAGCCATACAATTCAGAAACTGTCCTCCTATGTATCTACCCAAATGAGTTGAAAACTTATGTCCATACAAAAATCTGTACAATGTTTATAGTAGCTTTATTCATAATTGCCAAAAATGAAAAGCAACCAAGATGTCCCTCAATAGGTGAATAAACAAAATGAGATATATCTATACAATGGACTATTATTCAAAATTAAAAGAAATGAACTATAAAGCCATGAAAAAAAATGGAAGAATCCTAATTGCATGTTTCTAAGTGAAAGAAGCCAGTCTGAACATGTATGATTACAATCATATGACATTCTGGAAAAGCCAAACCACAGAGGCAGCAAAAAGATCAGTGGTTACCAGGAGATGAGGGGAGACGAATGAATACGTGGAGCACAGGCGATTTTCAGGACAGTGAAACTATTCTGCATCTGTATAATACTGCAGTGGTGGATACCTATTATTGTACATTTGCCAAAACCCATCAAACTGTAAAACACACACAGTGAACCCTGTGTGAACTATGGACTTTTAGTTAATAAAAAACAACAAAACAAAAACAAAAAAAGTAAAAAGCAAAACAAAGCCAGTGTATGGTAATGGAACACCAGTCTAACACCTTCCTTTTTAACTGTTATGTCCAACTTCTGCACACAGTAAACTAAAATAGCAAGTAACATTTACTGTTCCTCACATGCCAGTTTCTATGCTGCATATATTATGTCATTTAATCCTGCCAAGGATCCTAATGAGATAGGTCTCACTATTATCCCCATTTTCAGTTTTTTTTTGCTACTTTCTTCCTCCATGCTTCATTTTTAGTTAAGATTTTTTAAAAGTTGGGTGATATAATATGTGCTTCTCTATTAACCTATTAAATAACAAGTAGTATATCTAGTAACTGCCATAATTTTGAAGTAGTGTTGATTATAAATAATATTTCAAGATATGTACAACAAGTAACACAGTAAAATATCTGGGATTTCTACTGGTGGCAAATCACAGCTACTGCTATTAATACTATTACTATGGCTCTTGCCTACATTCCTCTCGAAGGAAATGCTAACATTTCCGTTAGAGGTTAGTGAAATAAATTTTTCCACCCATTTAGGAAGTTCACAGACTTCCTAAATTCTATCCACAGACACCTGGAGTATCATGGACTTTCCAGGTTAAGAATCCTGGTACAAGTTACGTATTATGCCACCACATTTTGCAAGCCTCTCTTCCAGTCTTAGGGACACAAAAGAGAAAATCCAGGCCAATACTTTACTTTGAATGGATTCTGATGTAGTCTCTTTTCAAGCTCTTGCAAAGAAACCTGAACAATGCCAGGGGAGGAGGCAGGAGCCGTGTTTTCAGTATGCAGAATCTTGACACCTCTGGACTGCAAGAAGTACTGAAGAGCTGATCCCATTAAAGATACTCAACAATTAATCAAGTTAATGAAATCTTCTAGTCCATTATTACTCAAGCCTTAAGGGTCCAAAGTCAAGTTGAATCCTGTTGAAAGATGGAGGGAAAAGGATACAGGTGTGAGGGAGAGGACACACCTGAGCTTTATCGCCTGCTTATTAAGAGTCACTAAAACTTATTAGTACATAACTATTTTAAATATTGGAAATCATTTTACTCACAGCATACTACAACTTATCAAGATGCTTATAGCTGTACATACACACACCCTACAGGGTATTAGACAATTAGCAGGTTCAATAATCAATACAGGAGACAAACCATACGAGAAAAAATGGAAGAGCTTCCCTTCCTTTGAGGAAACATATGTTGCTCCCTGGATTATTCTTCTGCCTCTCCTTTTGGGCGCGGAGGCGGTGCCATTTATGGCAGGTGCTCCGAGCCTGCCTGGAGGTCCCCTTTGGAAGACTGCAGCGACACAAAGATCCTGGCCAGCCCTTATGCGCCCCAGCCTGGTCCTCGGGGTCCTCTGGCATGGGTGCAGGAGCCTCAGGCCCCTGGAAACCATGGGAGCCGCTCTCTCAGCAGGTGGGGACGCGGCCGGCCTGGGGGGAGGGCGGAGACGCCTTTACCTGGCGGCGAGAGGGCCCCGGGGCGTCTGCGGTGCGAGGACAGCTCCGCCGCGCGGGCGGGCGGGACCGGCGATCCGCGCGAGGGTCTCGGCGAGGACTGCGGGGGATGCGCGGCAGCTCCCGCACCCGCCCGGCGGGTTTCGTGGTTAGCAAGTTCCTGCTTCCGTTGCAGCGACTGAAAGTTTGCCGCGGGGGAAGGGCACATTCCTGCCCTGCAACCCGGAGCTGCTTCCCGGCAACATCCAGCGCGGTGCCCCCGGCACCTGCGAGAGCCGCGAGCCCCTCCCCGCGGGGCTCCGGGCACCCGGCCCCTGCGCTGAGCCCCCACTCCGCGGACCCGGGCCGCGCGCGCTGGAGGGGCCTGCCGGTAGCCCCGAGGGTCTGCAGCTGCGCCTTGTCGCCTCGGAGGCCCGAGCCCGCGCAAATACACGTGGAGGAAAAGTCAACTGTACCAAACTGCACGCAGTGAAAAGTCTACCCCTCATCCCTGTTTCCTGGTCCCCTGGTCCCCCTCCCTGGAGGCAACCACTGAGAGCAGTTTTTTGATGTTCAAGAGTGCTTTCTATTTGGGGCATAATTATGAAAATCCTATTTCGTTAATTGGAGGATGGAGGGTCCTTGAGTAGAGGTGGCAATTCTTGAGTTAAATAGTATGGGCAAGGCAAGGTATTTGGCTTTCTGTAAGAGTTATTGTTTATAGGGACGGGTAATGATGATGAAAACAATGGTGTCTGTTATAGTTATTAAAATTGTATCCCTAACACTTATTACAGTACTTGGTATGTAATAAGTGCTCAGTAAATATTTAGCTAAAATATTAATATATTTGTTGACTGAGGGAATGGAAAAGAACTACATAGGACAGAGGTTGTAGAAGTGTTTTTAAATCACTGCTCACCCCACACGCACCTCCATATACACACAAACAAATGCAATGTTACTAAACCAGGGACATTGGATTTGGCAAGTGGTCTAATCTTTGACAGTATCACCTTGGTCAGTGAGAAAGAGCTTTTAGATCTGATGTAATTGCAGATTATTGGTCTAGGCCTCTGCAGCCAACAGCTATACCCTAGTTTTAACCAATAGCTAGCGAGGTATATGGTGACAGAGAATGTTTGTGAACAGTGGTCCAGAGGATGATCTACTCTTGAATGATAATAAAATTGCCAAAGCTCGGGTTTCAAAGAGTTACCCAAGAAAAGTAAACTCCAGAGTAATTTCCCACCAGAGTGCTTTTCCTGATGCCACAAGGGACTGATATGCAATGCATTTCATCTCTGCAGATGCTATACTTCAAGGTTCAGGGTGGAGATCAGTCACGTTTTCTGAATCCCTCTACGTGAGGTAGTCTATGAAAGGCACTAAGTAAACCTTTCCATCATTAGAAACTTCAGATTCAGTGTTTGATACAATGAACCTGTCAGCATTGAAGTGATGTATTATTTTTTCAGTTATGACAGTGAATGAAGGACATTTATAAACAAATAATGATTAAAGAAAACTTTTCTTCTCTTTTGAGACAGAGTCTTGCTCTGTTAGAGTACAGTGGGGTCATCACAACTCACTGCAGCCTCGGGCTCGCCACCATGCCCAACTAATTTTTACCTTTTGTAAAGATGGGACCTCACTATGTTGCCCAGGCTGATCTCAAACTTTTGGCCTCAGACAATCCTCCCGCCTCAGCCTCCCAAAGTTCTGGGATTCCAGGTGTGAGCAACCACTACTGGCCAAAAAAAAGTATTTTAATTGGGAAATATGTATTAAGCACCTGCAGGGGAAATTAAAAACCAATAAAACATAGGATCTACCTTCAAGATGTTTATAATTCAGTGGAGGAAACAGACAAGTTAAACAATGGCTGTGTAAAGAATAAATGTTATGATAGAAGATGCTAACTAAGGAAGCTCAGAGTGGGAATATCTGATTCTGACTTCCAGGAGGAGATGTATAAGTTAATTCTTAAAGGAGGAAGCTCAGCTAGCTAGATGGGGAGAGAAAGACTGAATATTCCAGACAGAGGAAACAACACAACCATCAGGGAATTCAGCCTGACTGGCACGAAGGCTACCTATGCACTTAGAGGAATGGATAGAGAGGCTGGGGTCAGAGCAAGAATTGCCATGGTGTCAGTCTAGCTCACAAAACCTCAAACTCCTGGGCTCAAGCAATCCTCCTGCCTCAGCCTCCTGAGTAGCTGGGACTACAGGCACACACCACCATGCCCAGCTAATTTATCCTATATACTTTTAGTTGGCCAATTAATTTCTTTCTATTTTTTAGTAGAGACAGGGGTCTCGCTCTTGCTCAGGCTGGTTTTGAACTCTTGACCTTGAGCGATCCACCTGCCTCAGCCTCCCAGAATGTTAGGATTACAGGCATGAGCCACCGAGCTTGGCCTGCATATCTATGTTTTAAACTTTATCCTAAAGGCACAGGGAGTTACTGAAGGTTTTTAGTAGGACAGTGACAGATCCAGAGACCTGATTAATATTCTAGAAAATTCTCTCTGCCTGCCACATGAGAGATGGATTGAAGGAAGTGAGGCCAGAGGCTTCCTTCCAAGAAATAGAAGAAGCGATGAGGCCCTGAAGTAGGCATGGAGATAGCAGAGAAATGAAGGGGAGAGGTTCTCCAGGACTTAGCAACTGGTTGGACATGGTGGTGAGGGTAAGCAGGCTTCTGGCTTGGGAGCCTGGCTGGATGGGAGCGCCAGGTAAAGAAAGACATGGCAGGAGGAGCCACTCTGGAGTGGACAGAGGCATAATGAGTTTTAGAAAACCTCAGTCCTGGTTTTATCATTTATTAGTTGTGTGACCAAGAATAAATCACTTAACTTTTCTGCAAAATTAGGAGGGTGGTAAAATACACACACCATGTTGCGGCAGGTTCGGCTGCCTGTCCCCCAAGAACCAGACATGACAGGCGAGTGTTGGTGAAGGAAAGGTGTTTTATTCAAGTGTGCCAGCAGCCGGAGGAGATGGCAGACCATTGTCTCAAAGGCCATCTCATCTCCTCTGCTTACCAAGCAACTTATAAAGGGAAGGGGTGAAGGGGTAAAGGGGGTCAGTGGCAGAAAGCAAGCTTTGTGCAAGGCATCATGACTTGCTCCATGGTCATCACAAACAATAGGTTGCGTGGTGGATCTTGTCATCAGCCGTCTGTGATTGGCTTTTTCCGGACTCTTGATCTGTTTCTTCTAAAGATTGTTTTCTTTTCTTTTATTCTCTTCTCTTTTCGCTGCCCTCCCTTCCCTCCCCCTCCCCTCTCGTCTCCTTTCCTTTCCTGGCAGTCTTGTCTTGTTGCCCTGGCTAGAGTGCCATGGTGTTAGCCTAGCTCACAGCAACGTCAAACTCCTGGGCTCAAGCAATCCTCCTGCCTCAGCCTCCTGAGTAGCTGGGACTATAGAAGCACAACACTGTGCCCAGCTAATTTTTTCTATTTTAGTAGAGATGGGGTCTCACTCTTGCTCAGGCTGGTCTCAAACTTCTGAGCTCAAGCAATCCTCCTGCCTCCTCAGCTTCCCAGAGTGCTAGGAGTATAGGTGTGAGTCACCACACAGGGCCCCAGGTCATTTTCTAATCCTGTGCCTGGCAGGTTTGCAAGCAAGCAGCAGGTTAATTCTAAACTTTTAAAATAGAACAAACCAAATGCATGCTGGAAGCAAGATGGTTTCCCTTTAGGTAGCCTAGCATTATAGTCCGAATGACCCTTGGGGGTACTTACAATCATACAGGTCTAATATATAGGAATGTGCTTTATAAACTTTAAAGGGCTGTTCAGTTGTTAGTTATTACATATACAATAACAGTTTTCAGCTTATGTGGGAATGATTTTAAGGATGCTAAAAGGCATCAATCCCAAATGTCTCCTACCTCTAAAGCCCCTCCAGCAGAATCCTTGCATTATAAATGCTCATTTAATTTTCTTGCCACCAGACTATAAGCTTCCTAAGGATAAGGACTGGGCCTTGTTGGATCTTTTATTCTCAGCCTCTATCTAGCCAGTGCCTGACACATTAGAGGTTCCCAAGAAATGATGAGTCAGTGAATGAGGGCATTTTATCTTCAGATATCATTTTTCTGACTATAGCTTTATAACGATATAATTCACATACAATTCACCCATGTAAAGTGTATACTTCAGTGGTCTTTATTCAGAGTTATCCATCACAATTTTAGAACAATTTCATTAACCCTCAAAAGCAACTCCCATGCCCATTTAATAGTCACCCCCTAGTTCCCCACCACCCCCTGCTCCTCAGCCTTAGGCAACCACTAACCTCTTTTTGTCTCTATAGTGCCTCTCCTGGACATTTCGTGTAAATGGAATCTACAATTCCATTTGTGATGGGTCCTTTTCACTTTGCATGTTTTCAAGGCTTATCTATGTTGTAGGATTTATCAGTACTTTATCCCCCTTCTTTTTTGGGCTGAATAATATTCCATTATAAAGATATACCACAATTTTATTTATCCATTCATCAGTTGATGGATAGAATTTCCTTTTTAGAATGAAATGTTTATACAAAGGGAAACATAAAACCCCCATCACAACAGTATGGATTAGAGTAGGCACACAGACAAAAATACTTTGATGTGGAAGAGGGGGAACAAAAACAGGAATGAGTTATTCTCCCACTCCTCCCCCTCAAAGAGGGCAACCTGGCAGGGGAGCCAAGGGCTCCCCAGGAGGGAGTGGGCTCCTTGCTCAGCTTCCAGTTCCATCAGCCTTGTGGTTTATGTAAACATGAAGACTATAGTCAAACACCACCTGCTTTTATAGGAGCCTGCTTTTATGTCTCAGGCAGTTTCCTAGTTCTATCTTCCTATTCCCACAGAACACTAAACTTACATTGATTTGCACTTTTCTCATTGTATTGTAATGGGGAGTACAGGAAAGAGCACAAGGTCTGAATCAGACCATCCTAAAGAGTTCCACCACTTACTACCTGGTGACCAAGGTGAAGTTACCTATTGATGGGCCTCAGGGTAGTAAAAATTAAATGAGTTATTAATAAAATAGGGGAAATGTCTGTGATATAGTAGAGTGGAAGGGACTTAAAAATCATTTAGTCAAAGCTCAGGGTATTTACTTGTAATTTTTTGAAGCAAACCATATAAAAGGACTTGCAAAGCTCTGAGTACCCCAGAATCACCTATCTCCTTGATGGCATTGCATTGCTAGGTTTACTTCCCTGACGTGACAAAACTTGGCAGTTTCCTTTTTGCATGACTTGTACTCCCTCCTGCCTTGTGCCGGGTTCAGAGTGACTTGTCTGTAATTGTCCAGGTCCCCAGAAAGTGCCGCCCTGGACTGTAGGGTCACTCACTTCTCTTTGAAGATGCACATTCCCTAATACATGAATTCGCATTTTCTGTTTCTTAATTTTTCTCTTATTTCCAGCTCCTTCTTTCGCCACCTCCTAGTATTTTCTATATATGGTCGTGCACTGCCGAACTCCCAGCTTTTCAGAACTTATTAACAAAAAGTTGCACCTAGATAATTGTGGATTCAAATTTTGAGTCTATTTAGCATCTTTCTTTCTCCATCCGTAAAACAGGGTTAAAAATACCTATTTTGTAAAGTTGTTGTAATATGTGGGTAGGAAAGAGCGGTGTTTAAAGGTAACGCATCATTACAATAGGAAAGGGCTGACCTCTCACAGCAGTTCTGGCTTTGAGGCTGTCGGGCCCTTTAAGGCGGCGTTGCCCTAGTAGCGGGCGCGGTTCTCCCCCACCCTGCGCAGGCCGGGGGCGGGGCCTCCTAACCCGGAACTGACTGCTGCTGGTGGCCGGCGCCGCCAATCCGCGTCCCCGGAAGGAGCCATCCTGCGGCACTTGAGCCAGTGAGTGAAAGCGGCGCCGCCCGCCGGTAGCGGGCGAGGCGAAGCTGGTGTGCCCTGAGTCTTCCCGTAGGGCTCCCCCAAAGAAGGAGGGCGAGCGGCGTGCATTCGCACCGCGCCTCCTCGCGTTTCTGTTCCCCAAATAGGGCCTCCCCATCCCCCACCGCCAAGCCCTGCGTGGGCTGAGCGCTCCATCCCCACACTTTGGCCTCACCGCGGCGCCCAGATTTTGTGTGGCCTCCGGGTCCCCGTCCCCTGCCCTGTCGCCCCGCCGCTGGAGCTGTCACCGCCCTGCCCGCCGTTCTCCCGCCGCCACCGCTGCCGGCACCATGGGCAGTGAGCAGAGCTCCGAGGCCGAGAGCCGACCCAACGATCTGAACTCCTCAGGTCGGTGTCCTAACCTCCCACCCTCCTCCCACCGGCCTGTCTGCTCGTGGAGCGGGCTGCTTCTCGGCCTAGTGGGCTCTGGGACGGCGGACGGGAACGCATGGAGACCCCTCACCATGCTATTAAAAAAAATATGTCACCATCTGTCCTAGCCTTGATTCCCCTGATGGAAGTGAGTGCCTATGACTGCAAGCTAAGCCAGCGTGGGCGCCCATGCCCCTTGTTTGTTTTCAAAACAGCCGTTACTCCCAGCTACAGCCTACTCCCTAAAGGACGACCTAATTAATTTTTGGCTCTAGTGCTTATGGCTAACATAGTGAGATTTGGCTCACACAGTGAACGGATCATAGACAGGACCTCCAAGAAGTGGCTCTTTCTTAAAAACGGGTTTTAGCGGTTCCTTATCAGGAGAGATGTGTGATAGGTGTACAATTGCTTTGACCCTTGGGTTTAAACCTTTCCAGAAAAAGCTTTTCCTCCTCAGAGGGCGTCTTGGCCCCCTTTCTAATATTATAGAGGTTGGCCAGATAGCAGGCTCTGGTGTTTCCCCTGTTACCCCAATGTCCAGTTTTTTTAGATTTCTCTCAGCTTTTCAGGTGGGAATGAGATTGGAATATAGTGAGTACTCAATAAATAAAACAGCTGGTGTTCAACTGAGGACCTATTGCTTTTTTTAAAATTATTATTGTTTGTTACAAACCCTAGGACAGCTGGAAGGGCCATAGATAAGCTCTGGAGTTGCTAATCCAAACTGCTTAAATCTGGGGCCTAAAGAGAGTTCCCTGGTTTTAGAGCTGCTCTGTTCTTGGTAGGATTTGTAATTCAGAAGTGTGGAAGCTAACAGATCTAGGGATGTTTCACACTGGAGTGTGTCCTTCGTTCTGGGGGCTGGATTTGGAACAGCTTGAATGATGAACAGCATCTACTACCTTTGTTACAGTCTTCTGCTTCCTTGGAAGAAAGACCCAGAGTGTCACAACTATTATAACAAATATGGTGGTAATTGCTACCTCTTACTTTCTTGCCTCTATGACAAGCCAGAAACATACTTTGGGAGAAGAAGTGTGTCATCTTTTAAATATGCTAATATGGTTGCTTGCCAATAAACCCATAGCACAGGCTCATTTTCTTTTTCTTTCTTTCTCTCTCATTTTTTTTTTTTTAAGAGATGGGGTCCCAGTGTGTTGCCCTCCTGGGCTCGAAAACCAAGTCCTGAGTAGCTGAGACTACAGGCTCATTTCTGATGTTAGAATTTCCCTATTTCCTGTGCCAAGTACTTTACATACGTTTACCTTTATCCCTTATAGTAACCCCACTTTACAGATAATATAATAGTTAGCTAGAATGTTCTGAAGACCCCCTTTCCTTGGGGGTCTGGGTAATGAGGAATCACACTTTTTTTTTTTTGAGACAGAGTCTCACTTTGTTGCCCAGGCTAGAGTGAGTACCATGGTGTCAGCCTAGCTCACAGCAACCTCGAACTCCTGGGCTCAAGCAGTCCTGCTGCCTCAGCCTCCCGAGTAGCTGGGACTACAGGCATGCGCCACCATGCCCGGCTAATTTTTTCTATATATATTAGTTGGCCAATTAATTTCTTTGTATATGCCTCACTCATTGTCCTTTAGGTCTTTGCTTACATGGCATGTTCTCAGTGAGCCTTCCTTGACTGCATTATTTAAATTGCAGTCCATTTCCTGCCTGTTTTTCTCTGTAGCAATTTAATTTACCATTGACCTACTGCAAATTTGTTCACTGTCTGTATTTCTCTGCTGGTATGTGAGCCTCCATGATGGCAGGAACTTTCATATTTTTGTTCACTGTTGAATCCCTAGCATTTGAAATAGATCCTAGAATAAAAGAGAGACTGAGTGAATCAACAAATGATGTTAGAGTTGGCCCTTCCCTGCCTATATTTCCATGAAAAAGATTTTTCATTCTTATTTGTGATCTGGACTATGGGGTGGACTAGTGTTCAGATCCATGGAGAAAATCCCCCATCACTGCTGATACACTTGTAATTAATCCTGGCAGCTGTTTTGTATGAGAGAACAGCATGTGGTTTGAGAGATTACTCACTTGATTAGCATGTATTTGAAGTAGAAGGTAGGTAGTTACCTTTTTTTTTTTTCTGCCTGCTCTGCCCCCCTGGGCTGGAGGGCAGTGGGGTGATCATAGCTCACCTGTAACCTTGAACTGGGCTCAAGCAATCCTTCTGTCTCAGCCTCCCAAGTAGCTGACTACAGGCAATGTCCCCAATTCTGCTAATTTTTCATTTTTTGTTAGAGATGAGTCCTTGCTATGTGGCCTGTCTTGAACTCCTGCCTCAAGCCTCCCTTCCAACGCATTGGATTATAGGCATGAGTCACTGCGCCCAGCCAGTAGTTAATCTTTAATGTGAAGGCCACAATTTATTATTTATTATCTCCATTAAGTGGTAGAGATGATTTTTACTTACCTGAATGATATTTCTTGCTGTAAGTTCCCCCCAGTCCGCCTCCATTCTCAACTCCCCACCCCAAGATAAAGAAAAATGCATATGAACCCTGAGTTTACTTAACCTGGTGGAATAATAAAACATCTTACATTATATAGTATTTGCATAAACGTCCCTCCCACACAAACATATACATATCACCTTTAATTTTACATCATTAAATGGTACTTTAATGATTTCTGCAGATTAACACTGGATATTATCAAGTTGAATAAACCTCACTGATGTCAAACTCTGTATTAATTAACTGTCCACACTAAGACAAAAACAAATGGTGCTTATAGGATGATCCATTATCATCTGCATTCTTCCCGGTAACTTCATCTGCCTTACAGATGAGGAAATAGAAGCTTCAATCTCTTCTCACAAGCCTCAGGGTTAGACATTGGTAAACAACTCTGGCTCTTCATAAACAACACATTACATCCTGATTACCCATCTTCTTAGTTTTTCATTATTTGAAGAATAATGTGATTCTCCACAAAGAATCAACCTTAATGAATTTTCACTTCACATATTCTTGTACAATCATAGTTAAAAGACACAGAAGACCGTTTATGTTTTTGAAACTTTGATCTGGGATACTTGTGTTTATACGTCCATCACCTTGTGGTGGGTTTTCACATAGCTAGTACTGCCTGTGTTGGAGTTCTTTCACATTCCCTATCTTCCTATGATCTCCATTCTCTCTCCTCCTAAACTCTTCTGATCCTGGGTGGGCTTATGTGACCAATTGCTTGTGTCTACTTTAGGTAATATTAAACAAAAACAAAAACCAGTACCTTAAGATATATTTTACAAATTTCTGGGATTATTTTTTTTTATTATTTTGTTTTTTTTGAGCAGAGTCTCGCTTTGTGCCCAGGCTAGAGTGAGTGCGTGCGTCAACCGTTAGCTCACAGGCACCTCACACTCCTGGGCTCAAGCAGGTTCCTCCTGCTCAGCTCCCGAGTAGCTGGGACTTCAGCCTGGCCATTGCCGGTATTTTATATATATATATATCTGTGGAATTATTTTCTTTTAGTTTTATAGTAGTAGCGGTGGTTCGCTCTTGCTCAGGGCTGGGTTTTCGAACTCTGACCTTGAGCAATCCACCCGCCTCGGCTCCCAAGAAGCTAGGTTACAGGCGTAGAGGCCACAGGCCCGGCCCTGGGATTATTTTTTTTAATCATTAGAAATATAGTTGAGGCCAGGCGTGGTGGCTCATACCTGTAATCCTAGCACTCTGGGAGGCTGAGGCAGGCAATTGCTTAAGGTCAGGAGTTCGAAACCAGCTTGAGCGAGACCCTGTCTCTACTAAAAATAGAAAGAAATTAATTGACCAACTTAAAAAAAATGTATATATATATATATATATATATAATTAGCCAGGCATGTGACACATGCCTGTAGTCCCAGCTACTGGGAGGCTGAGGCAGTAGGATCACTTGAGCCAGGAGTTTGAGGTTGCTGTGAGCTAGGCTGACTCCACAGCACTCACTCTAGCCCGGGCAACAAAGTGAGACTCTGTCTCAAAAAAAAAAAAAAAAAAAAGAATACAGTTGATGCTTGAACAATAGAGGGGAGTTAGAGGCACCAACCCCTTGTGCAGTCTAACTTTTGACTTCCCCAAAGTGTAACTAATAGCCTACTATATGACTAGAAGCCTTACTGATAACATAAATAGTTGAATTTGTATTGTTATGTATTTCAACTGTATTCTTACAATAAAAGTAAACTACAGAAAAGAAAATGTTATTAAGAAAATGTGCCAGGCGTAGTGCCTCACGCCTGTAATCCTAGCACTTTGTGAGACTGAGCAGAAGGATCACTTGAGGCCAGGAGTTTGAGAGCAGCCTGAGCAACATAGTGAGATCCTGTGTCTACAAAAATTTAAAAATTAGCAGGGTGTGGTGGCACATGCCTGTAGTCCTAGCTACTTGGGAGGCTGAGGTGGGAGGATCATTTCAGCTCCAGGAGTTTGAGGATACAGTGAGCTATGATGACACCACTGCACTCTAGCCTAGATGACAGATTGAGACCCTGTCTCAAAAAGAAAGAAAATCCTAAGGAAGAAAAAATATATTTATTATTTATTAAGTAGAAGTGGATCATCATAAAGGTCTTCATTCTTGTTGTCTTCACATTGAGTAGGCTGAGGAGGAGGAAGAGGTGGTTGGTCTTGCTGTCTCAGGGGTGATGGAGACAAATGAAAATGCACGTATAAGTGGACCTGTGCCTTTCAAACCTGTGTTGTTCAAGGGTCAACTGTAATTCACATTTGTGATGATAAACTGAGTAGTAGGGCGCTGGGTGCACTGTAATCCTAGCACTCTGGGAGGCCGAGCGGGCAGATTGCTCAAGAGCCAGGGAGTTTGAAACCAGCCTGAGCAAGAGTGAGACCCAGTCTCTATATAAAATAGAAAGAAATTAATTGGCCCTAATACTAATTTATATATGAAACATTAGACAAAGGTGGGGCATCGAGTCCCCAGTTACTTGGAGGGCTGATGGCAGGAGGATTGGC